TTGAATGGCGGAAGCATGGCAATGATGCTTCGACTCAGAAGCTGCCGCCAGCCTCGAGCTAGGGATCCGTCATGTCAGTAACTGAGGACAACTAGTTTGCGGGATCTAAGATGGTGGATATAGTAGCGCCTCTCCTTTCTTACATGCTTCTGGCTGCTTCGTAGCCATGATGATATGCAAGGGGTAAAGATCCAGGCCAATTTAGAGGATTACAGCGGGAAAGAAAAGGCCCCTAGAAGGCATTTAAGCAAAGACGGACTTACAAGTCATGCTGGCAAGCTGCGACGCGCGCGAGATCTGACAAGATCAGGCGGCTGTGGGGGCGCACACCGCTAGCCACAAGGGTTTTGCAAAAATTTTTGAAGGGTTCTTAGACGTATACGATAATGCATGTTTCGATTTCTGATCAGTCGGAGCATAAGCAGTCCAGTCAAGGTCACTGATGGTAAGATGACCCGAATGGTAAAAAATATGAGTGGGTAGAAGGCTTTGGTGTCAACGCAGTGCTACAGTAGATAGCAGTAAATAGTAGACGCAGGGTTTATCTTCGGCAAGGGTCGCGTTAGTAGTAGCTTGGGGAAGGCAAAAACAAAGGTCGGAATTTCCTAGTTTTGGATCGAATAGTCAAACTTGAAAAGATAAAATCGGCGAAAAAGCGTATGTTATTCCATTGCAGCGAACATTTCGACTATAAGACTCAGGTTGTTCAAAAGTTGTTGTGTTTGTAGGAAAGAAAGAGCGAAAAAGCCTGCGGCAAAGAAAAAACGGCTGGCGGATTCGTGGGACGACAACGTGATTAAGCACTGCGGGCCGAGACTGGATCTTCGTCTCCCGCTGGTTTCGGCTTCATTTCCCATCTCCCTGTAGGGCTCTTAATTTCCTCCTGCTTGCTATCTTCATGGAGAGCTGCCATCCAAGGAGGATAATTGACCGCCTTATTGCCGTATGAACACATGGGTATTTATATGGTGACTGCTCATGATATTCTCCAGCACAATCGTTCACCGCTCTTCTCTGAGTCTGTTCTTGTTGCTTGATTGCTACGGGTGCCATGTTACCCTTTCAAAGGCCTGAATAATAGGACTGTTGCAAACAGTGGCCTGGGTAGTTTATGACATACGCATCATAAGCTCAAGATATCAGTCGTGGCCGGCAAACAAATCGATATCCCACATCAGTATTAATGCAGCTTTTTGCCACGCCTCCTTTTTGCTATTGCCTCTAAGGGACCACCGCACGTGACTTTTCGGCTTCATTCGACTCATTGATGTGTAGAAAGCACCTATTTACAAACCATACATTAGTTATGGGCTCCTTAGACTATATTATGAGTAAACCATAACCCTTCGAACCCAGGAGATGGTGTAATGCCTTACAAGGCTGGGGATGTCGTGACAGTCGATCCCACTACATATATGGACCTTAGGCAGTGCAGTCTCGTGTCAGTCATGGTTCCAAGTAATCCAGATACTAACAAAATTCATACCATTTCTGATGCTTATGATGGCTATAACCCGGCTTGTTGACAGGTATCAATGTGGACTGGTCACTTATAACTAAAGGCATTTTGCAGAGCACTTGAATAAAGCTCCTGTGTGTGATCAGTAACGAGATCAAAGTGCAGTCACATCTACACGATGTAGATATAGCTGACTGTATAACATACTCGACATAGTAATAGCTCTGGAAAAACATCATTGAGGAAGACCAATCCGAATGCGAATGATTGTTGGAAGTGAGGGGCGACTATGGATATGTCCCAAACAGGAATAGCCAGCCTGTCACTGTAATATCACGAGATCTAATGATTATTATAATTTGACTATAAACTGACTACAACTCACTGGATTCATTCCTGAGCAGAGCAGGCTGCGACTTGATCAGGCCAAGGAAAAGCATCATTGGCCCTGGAGGAACTTACCAAAGGATCAAGTTTCTACTGCAAAAGACTAAAGCATCCACGAGTCTACAAAGACCTAAGAATGAGAGAGTACTGTTGTAAGTGAGAGTCAGTTCAGGTAATGTATAATTCAGGCAGTTTGGTGTTCACCCTATGACTACTAGTGCAGTTATACTGATTCATCTTCTCAGGCCCAATGTAACCTCACGCCAACCATTCTTATTGCCTTAACTCGGAGTGCAGTTTCCTCCACGTCGAACGAATGCTATTATGAAATTGAATCTCTGCATAATCCTCTACAACTCGGACAATCACATGCAGCAGTTTAAACTGGAAACTTAAAAAGAGAGCCGATCTAGACCTGGAAAGGAAACCGATGCGAGCTTGTTGGGTTGGAAAGCGGTAAGCCGCAAACATTTCTTCAGGTATCCTGTAGATCTCCAGACCCAAACAGTCAATCATCTCTCCCCCTCCAATATCCCCTTCAACGTTGATTGGCGACTGCTAAGCGACAGGTACGCGAAGATGCGATCTGCGGGTGATCCTCGGTGCTTTCCATCTCTCCGAGGCACAATAATGCGGGGTCTACACGTTCCATGCGTTCAACATGTACTGCCGGGCTTCATGTGCCGAATACTTAATTTCCCTCCAAGTTTATCTTTTGCTCCTTTAGGTGAAAGAGGCTCCCACCATGATCGATGTCAGGATACCCTTTATGTTCATCTGATATTTTGTTGGGAAAAGTGATCCGCTATTTGATGCTTGGAATTATCAATGGAAGAGAATCCTTCACATGAAGGTAGGTTCTTCGCCCGAGCGTCCGAAATCCGAAGACATAGTATAAAACACCATGGCCTCAGTTCTTGGGGAAAGGCATCCCATGGTATCAAAATAATATACCGCCATCATGACTTCTGCGGGCAACCCAAAAGATTCTATGAAATCCACATGGCGTACCGGCAACCGGGACGAATGGGGCCTCAGCCACTGGCTGCTGGAGCTGCTCAATGTTCATCCCATTGCACTTGATCAAGAAGTGCCGGTCCATTCCAAGCAGGAGAAGCTACCTTATATGCCCCAGTGGTCTCTTAACCTCTGGGTTCTCTTTTACGCGGCTGTTCCGCTCGCCATCAATCAGGCCTACATCTCATATATGGGCCACAACCTCGGCCCATTTGCTCTGTTCAATCTATACTTCTTCTCGTTCAACGCGACAGTCATTCACCAAGTTAAAATGCTTCGTCGTCTCGGACATACATATGGCTTCCTTGATGGTGACCAGCATGAACGCGACGGTATTCCCGATGTTGGGGTGCGGAAAGTTACCGCCTCGCTCTACAAGACGACCGGCTCACGCTTGGTTATGGCGATCTATCTATCCTACTACAACCAAGCACCCATGGCCATGGACTGGACATGGCTCCCACTGATGATCGGTCTCTATGGTATTGTGCTTGACTTCTGGTTCTACTGGTACCACCGCATTATGCACGACGTTAGCTTCCTCTGGAAGTACCATCGCACTCACCATCTCACCAAACACCCCAACCCCCTCCTCGCCGCTTATGCAGACCACGAGCAAGAGTTCTTCGACATGGTCGGTGTGCCGTTCATGACCTACATGAGCCTTAAATTCATGGGTCTTCCTATGGGATTTTATGAGTGGTGGATCTGCCATCAATACGTCGCATTCGCGGAGGTCTTTGGACATAGCGGTCTTCGTGTCCACATGACAGTGCCATCAACACTGAGCTGGTTGCTGCAGTGGATGAATGCCGAGATTGTCATTGAGGATCATGACCTTCACCACCGCAAAGGATGGAGGAAGAGTCATAACTATGGCAAGCAGACTCGCCTGTGGGACCAGATCTTTGGCACGTGCCATGAGCGTATCGAGTCTGCCGAGAGCAACGTCGACTATACGAAGTCTGTCTATATGCCTTTGTTCTAGACTGCTGCAACTGGAATTTTTGTATCGGCTCTCCCACCCCAACAGGGTCTCGAACATGCAGTGATCGCTGCCGGATTTTCACGGTGAAGATGGATAATTTAAATATTATATGACGAGGTCACGACAATGATGAACAATACCAATGGCAGGTGGTCAGCAAGACAAAAAGGTTCATACTAGGGCCAGCCATATATACTCTTAGTACATATATTTGTTATTTCAAGTCAATCAGAACATACAGCTTCGTATCTTTCCAATACATTATTCCATCCAACCCCATAGTACCACACAAGACACAACAATTGAAATCACCAGCACAACAAGTGAAAAGTAGCTAACTACCTACTAAACAACATCATTGATACATCCAGATTAAATCATCATCCCTAGACACAATCTAGACCACCCCTCAACCCTGACCCTCCCCAAACCAAAAATTATCCAGACTTACATCAAACCCCCAATCCATCCCCATGTGAACCATAAACCCTCCAATCGCCACCCACCTCATACCCCATAAACAATGACACCCCATCTACGTAGTAGCTCCCTTTCCGCAACAAATCAATCCAATCCTACCAGCACAGAAACACCCCAGCAGCGCATCTAAAACCCGCACCCTAGACATACAAAGTAAACCAATCCGACCTCCACAATTGCGCAATCGCAATCACAAATCTAGACTCTCTCCAAAAAATAAAACGTAGTACGTGACCATGACATGACACTACCAACTCCCCTATCCAAACAGGGCGGACAACCATTAACACCGAGGTTCACGTTCCACGGAATCTAGAGTTTAACCCGCGTGGCGAGCCAATATCAGGGATGAGATGGAGCATGATGAGCATGGAGAAACTTGAATTGACTATTGATGATGATGGGTTGGAGAGGTTTGTGGAAAGTTAATTGCGAATTGCATCAGGTTACGTACTTTACTTCACTTAGGGAAGAGGTTTGTTGTTCATGTTGTTGATGTCAAATGGGCGACATTATGACTTCATGGGGTGGTTGGGATTTGGGTATATATAGAGTGTTGATTTTGGGGGTTGAGATGGGATTGGTATCCGAATCAGAATCTCAAGACTACTATCTATTACTATTTAATCCAATAGACGATAAACCATTTGATTATATCAAACGGACAAAATGGCATCCAACTCCAACCCCGGAAACTTCGCCAACCGGCCCCACGACGAAGTGTCGAATATTGCCAAGAAGGGTGGCCAGTCTAGTCACTCGGGCGGGTTTGCCAGTATGGATCCTGATAAGCAGGTACGTTGTATCGATTCTCTTTTCTTTAGCTCAAAAGATGAGATACTAAACTATGAACAGCGCAACATCGCATCCCAAGGTGGCCAGGCCTCCAGCGGCAGCTTCCAACCCGGAGACCCTAGAGCCCGTGCTGCTGGCCAGAAGGGCGGATCGAGAACCCAGTACGATCAATATGATGAGGAGGATGAACCCGAGGAGTAAATCATCTCTTTACCACTCAGTGTGATGATTTGACTCCTTGTGGAGCGGAGGTAAATGTTTGTTTGACGATCGTTATGATATGAAAGGAACAAGGGCCCTGTTTAGTAATTATTTTATGAGAAGATGTATGTACTAGCGCCAGTATACATAAGGCGAATATGAAATGTGTGCACACAACAAATTCTGTTCCAATATTCGATATTTTTGAGTTGGGGAGAATAGATAGTATCGATATGAACTGAGTTTGTGGGGTGACATCACAATAATGCCGTTTCCGGTCGGTTCGACTCGACGCATCATGTGAGGTCATAATGTTGCCCCCCTTGACTGTCATGGTGTTGTATATTTCTCATTGATGTCGAGATATTCGGCATGTGGTGGCGATTTGTAGAGTTGCAATGGGTTCATGTGCTAACAGTAAGCGGCTGCGTTGATGATGTTGCTGAAAATAGTAGAGCTGCGAACGATAACTTCTGCCTGAGGTCTAGACAGTGCTGTAGTGGAAAATTGTGTGCATTACTTAAGCGGCACACTCAGATTACTGAACATGGTACAGAGTTGATCTACCAAAAGTTGGATTGGTTCTGTGAACTCGGACGTGTAGCTTCAGAAGACTGGTTCAGCGAATAAAAAGACCATGAGTGCAGTCTTCAATTCTAGCCTTAGGGTCGCTGCCGATTTGCGTCTGCACCAAACAAGGCAGCCTCGAAGAAAGCCTTATAAGGCTCGGCAACTGAAACAAGCATCCAGCGCAAAGATTCAGGAGACCCAAGGACAAGAGAAGACTCCGGGCCAAGAAAAAAGCGTTCTATTTTTTTTTTTTTTCTTCTCAACTCAGTCGTGTGCAGTCTCAGCCACAGATCTGCAAATAGATATAGAATACTTTTATCCGTAGCATGAGGCAAAGTTTTCGCACGAGGCTATTCGCAGGGGATCTGCCATCGAAAGCGCGCTAGGCAATGGCAACCGTATAGTTTATCGTCTCGGTTTCCTATTAAGGTTATCGTGATGCTGCGGCACCGGCTGCGCCCATCAGGGGTTTCTGGAAACTAGGAAAAGATTTGCTCGAACTAGTAGAACCGAAGGCCCAACTCAAGCCTCGAGTGCCGCACTACCGAGCCTAGAGAGGAGCAGAACACACTTCGACTCAATAGAACCGTTTTGGTGCTGGACGCAAACTGTGCAGTCTCCTATCTAGGACTGGTGGAACGGTCAGTGATCGGTGGTTCTCCGTTCGGACGAGTTTCATCCATTCTCAGTTCCACTGATTCGGATCTGAAGCAGAAGTTGCGACTTTGTCAAGGCCTAGAATTGAACTCGGCGGGTTAAGTTTCGGCCGGATCAGCGAGTCGTGGCCACCTCTGTCAGGCCATAACCATCTCCGTCAAATTTTAGTCATCTAATGATCACCCGTCCCGCGATGTTCTCTTTGAGTATGTGCGCCGGGATGATAAGATGCCACTGGCGCTGCTCGGACATGGTCGATACGCCCACTGTATGAGAAAGTACCTTTTGTACAACCGTCTTTGAGACGTGAAACGGCCCTAATAAGCCTTAAGCCGGGGAAGAATCCTTTGGCCTTCCAGAGGAGAAGTGGATCGGATCTTTTCTCAGCGCTTAGTATCTAAACGGTTAGATAGTAGCCCACCTAGTAGGAGTCTAGAGCCGATAGAAAGGATAGATACACAGACTATTTACTCCATGGATAGCGCTGGGATGAACCACCCAAAAATTTCAAGACCGAACCACTGGGTGCGAAGCGAGAAAAGCAAAGAGTTGAGAGTGGCTCGTAGTGGGCTCTCTCTCCAGGACCATCAGTTCACAGTCAAATCAACTGGGTTTTCTGCTTTTTTCTTCCATGGCAGCCCGGCGCCAAGCTTTGCTTCCGGAGTTAACCTTTTGTCGGCCAGGAACCGGGTTTCTTACCCACCAGAATTCCACACCGGCGCATCCACACCAGGGCACCAGCAGTTGAAGAGTCGAGATCAAAGTGGTCAGCACTATTGGCCATTCTAGAACATCTGGATGCATCAGCCAGAGATCCCTGGAAGTGGACTCGCTCCCCTCGACCACACAACAATTGTGTTGATACATTGGTTTTTGTTCGTTGTTCCTCATTGTCCCCTCTAGAGGCCACCCCATCTGTCCCATAGATCAATCCATCAATCACATTGGTGAAGACCGGATGGCATTCCAGACTCATGCAGTCTCAGCTACATTATCCACCCCTTTTTTATTTTCCAATCAATCATAATGCCGATGTGGATTGGTGGACTCGCGGAAACTGTGATCACAATTGCTGTGAACAGATCGCAGCCGTCGGCTGATTCATGGCGGTCATTGGCTGTGGCTGAGCCACTAACGTCATAAAGTGGTGATACATCGGCCACTCCAGGTGAACAATCTTGCAGGAGACTACTGTGATTGGTGCAAGCACATTGTCAGGAATTGAGATTGTGCTCACTTGTGCCGCCGTTTCATTGCTTCGGAGAAACAGACTTGAAACGGCAAGGTGTCAGAAAGGGAGGCAAGAGGGACGGGAAGACACAATAATTCATGGACGGTCCATTCACAATGGGGGTGAGAAAAGAGACTTCGGGGCAACCATCTAGGGGGCGGCTCGCGAAGAAAATCTCGCATGCCGGCCTTCACACCTCCCATTCTCGTCCAAAGTCACCCGACAGAGAGTTGTCCGGAAGGAAGGGCTCCATTAGGTTGGCCTACATGCTTCTTGTCTGCACAAGGGATGTGTACTACTGTACAGTGTATGCTGGGTGGTGAGAGTTGGCCATTACGGTCAATCCATCACCTGTCAAGGGGAGTACACAATAAAAGTAAACAAGCCCGGGAGATCTTATCGACGATCTCCTGATTGCACCAACTGTAGAATTCTGTTTGGCAGCGTTCCTGGTTCACAGTACATGAGAGAGGAGACGGGCGAAAACCGGTGCGACTAAGCCCGAACTTTACCCAAGTAACTAGTTCAGGGAGGGGAGGGAGAGAGTGGATTCCCTCCCTAACCAGCAGTGGAGTAGGGTGCTGCTCCCCGGAAGCCCTAACCCACTGAACTCGCCTTAGTGTCTAAGGGGCCAGCCAATCACAGACTGAAAATGGGTGGGGCGGGTCCCATTATCCGCTGAGTCAGCCAAAGGACGCGCAAGCCTTTTTAGTTACCTGAATTTCTGGGTGGATTTCTATTCCTGGCGTGGAGAAACGAGTTGCCCATCTGGTCTCTTCGCTCTGCTGTGTTGCTGCTGTTGCTGCTGCTCTGCCCACTCGGTCTTGTAACGTTATCCCTCCCTCATTAACTCCCGTCCGCCAACCTTGGTCGATCCCTCCCTTCCCATTTTACCCATCATCTCTTCCCCTACTCTCTCATCAATCACTACTACTACCATCATTATCATCCATCTTCACCCATCTAACTCCCCCTTCCTGTTTTTCATTTTACCCTCTCCAACGCTATCGTTACGTTTATTGTCTTTTCGATATCCCTCATAGACTACTCGCTTCATTGCTTACTAGTAACCCTCTCACCCCTTTCTACCTCGGATCACATCCACCCCCATCGTCTCTCGTTATCAAATCCAACCTACCCCTTTCTCTGCTCCGACCGTGCACTTGACCAAATCGCGCTGGTCTTCGCTCTCGTTTATCAGGTTGCGCTACTCGAACAGCTTTTCATCTACACATCCTCATCACCATGGCTACATTGGCAGAACATCCGGCGGTCGCGCCGTCAACATTCGACCAGGAAATCGAGTCTTTCCTCGATCTTGATCAACTAGCATACACCTCCGCAGAGCCCGCCCGCGCAAAGACCGCCATGGCTGCTCAACCCACCCTACCAAGCACCGAGTTCAACGCTGGCGATGTACGAAGTGCTGGTTTTGCCTCGACAACAAGTCAACAAGCCCCGATTGCTTTCCAGGGTCCCAGTCACCAGTATGATGAACACAAGCAGCAGACCGGGCTGCCTCCAGGCGCCCTGGCTCATGCCATGACTTTCAACAACCACATGAACGGCATGGGATACGGTGCCCCGAGTCCCGGTTTCCCCATGGGCGGAGACCTCTACCCTAGCAGCCAACTGAAGCGCGAGGAGCCTTCCATGGATTTCAACAGCCCCCCGACTCGCAACACCTCGGATATGGACCTGGAGTCCGACAACATGGGATCGGTTCCTGGCTACTTCATCTCCCCGAACCCGAGCACCAAGAGCCAGTTCGTCGACCCCAACGCTTTGGGCGGCCATGAGATGGCCTCCATGGGTCCCTCCACTCAGGTTGGACGCATGTATCCGGGTATGCACCAGCAGCAGGCTGCCATGGCCAAGGCCGCTCAGCAACAGAAGCACAATGAGTACCTTCGCCAGCAACACCTCCAGCAACAGCGCCGCATGGACGAGCACATGCATCACAATGCAGGCCCCCACAGCCAGACCCCTCGCCCGTCCAACCCGGCTGTTGAGGAACGCATCTCCCGCCTCTTGCAACAGATGCGCCAGTCTGCCTTGAACTCGCCTGACGACTCCCCCTCTCCTCCTTCCCTCCTGCCTCAGATGGCCAAGGCCAAGAAGGAGGAGCAGGATATGGATGAGGATGAGAGACTCTTGGCCAGCGAAGAAGGAAAGAAGCTCAGCAGCAAGGAACGTCGTCAGCTCCGGAACAAGGTTTCCGCTCGTGCTTTCCGGTCTCGCAGAAAGGGTATGAATATCCCCTGTTGGTGTAATGACCTGAACATAAAGTGACTAACCCGTTGTTTAGAGTACATTGGTCAGCTCGAGAGCGAGGTTGCCGCCAAGACCAACGAAGCCCACGAACTGCGTCTGCAGAACCGTTCCCTCTATGAGGAGAACGCCCGTCTCACCGACCTCGCCCGCATGCTCCTGTCGTCCCCTCACTTCTCCTCGTTCCTGGACGAAATGGGCCCCAACGGTCTTCCCCTGCCGAGCCAGGTGCAGTCGCAGCACCACCAGCACCCTCAGCACCCGCAACAGGCCCAGCCCCAGCAGCAGCCGCCCCAGCAGCAAGCGCCCGCCATGACGCAACCGCCTATGCAGCAAGCTCCTCCCGTTGGTATGGTCATGGTCCCCAACCAGGGACTCGATGTCTCGGCCATGGGCATGAACAACGGTGGCTGGAACTCCGGTATCGACATGAACTACGGCAACCCCTCAGTGTTCGCCGTCCTGGAAGTCCCTGAGCCCGCTATTGACACCGAGGCTCTCTCTGGCAAGACCTCCAGCATCGTGGACTCTTGCCTTCCCAGCGTTGCCAGCTCCAAGGACGAGGCTCCTGTTCTCGCCTCTATGCCAGCTGTTGCCGAATCCGAGCAGAAGTCGGATGTTGGCGTTGAGAACCCTGATGTCGTGATGGACGAGTCGGACCCTGCCTTCGCCCTCTTTGCTGATATGCCTGTCGCCCCTACATCGCAAGGATCTGCTTGTGCTTTCGATGGCATTGCTACCGGAAAGTCGACTTTTGAGCTTGTTGTCGAGGGCGAGGTCAAGGACAGTGCCCAACAATTTGCTCAGCTCTGCCACAGCATGGAAGCCGCTTTCGAGCGCGTGTCCATGATGACTGCTCATCTTTCATGATTCCCCATGTCGCGCACTTTCGAGCCTTATAAGTACTGTAAAGCTGGTTCTTCGATTTTGCTATTTTACCTTCTCGCTAGTGGTTCGAAAGACTATTGAACCTGCCATGTAGACACCAACGTCTTTCCTTTGTCAATGATCTTGTGTTTATATACTTCTGCCCCATGACGTGGCTCATTTCTGTCTACGCTTATTCTTTCTATTGCTGCTCGTCTTTTCTTCTACTCTTTTCTTTTCATCCTCTTTTTTTTTTTTCAGGGGTTCGACGGAATGGCTTCTGGTGTCTGGAAGAGGGAAGGCTACTTGGGATTGGAATTTGGGAGCTTGGAATTATGGATTGTCCGGACTGGCTATTAGGGAACACATCAAGATACAAATTAACTCCATATTAAAAGTTGAACTACCTTTTAGGATCTGCGAGCCTTTTGCATAGATCGTATTAGTAAGTAAGTAGATGACCAGTGGCAGACTCCTGCTTGGCGTGGAGGAGCTGCATGGCTTAAAGTGATGAAAAGTGGCGATTGTCAGGCCCGAGAAAAAGTTGCCGGGCGGAGAAGCTCTGCGACTTCACTCAACTAAATTGACATCCTCTCGTCGCCCACCATCTCTTTTATCTTGCTTTTTACTTTGATCCCTATGAGATGACGGACCGTTGACACTGCTCACATTTATCTTAGCCCAACTGCATCTCTCTTTCCCATCAAGTTGGCTTCCCTTTTGCGGTCCGCGGCGCTACTCGCCAGTGTTTTTCGCGGAGTTGCCGTCGCTCCCAGACGTCCCTCGCCAGTCCTCCTCCGAACATCGATCCCTCGAGATTCTCGCGGCTCTCATAAAAAGGCTCTATCCCAGAAGCGCGACTTTGCTCAGAAGCGTGGGCCGTCGGCGTCATCCAAAAAATCTCGGATTGGCCAGCCAATGGAACCGGGCACTTATCTACTGCCTGCCCCTCGACTACCTTTCCGACGCGGACAGAATTTCCTCCTCTACAATCCCAAGTCTTTTCAGACATCAGGTTTCGGTCCTCCGCCGACGCCACCGACGGGCAATCCCCCAATGAAGTTCTACTACGAAGTCCTGACCACGCCCACGGCCGATACCCCAGGCACGACGGTCCTTCTTCACTTCCCGGACAAGCGTTATTTCTTCGGTCAACTGTCGGAGGGCACTCAGCGCGCATGTACGGAGCGTGGCATTAAAATAACCTATCTGACCGACGTCTTCCTCACCGGCCAGATACAATGGGGCAACACTGGAGGACTGATTGGTGTTATCCTTACGTTGGCCGACGGGATAGCCAGCTCGAACAACGCTTTGGAACTTCTTGCGCGGGAGAAAGAGGAACGCATTAAAGAAAGTGGACAGGCCAATGCGGCTGCCAAAAAGGAGCATGGAATGTCATACGCGGTTCACGACGGACAATTGGTACCGCAACGAGGAACTCTGACAATCCACGGAGGTAGAAACCTCACACATACCCTGGCTACCGCACGGAGATTCGTCTTTCGCAAGGGTACACCGGTGTTCACGCGCGAATATGATTCGGAGGGCATGTCGAAACCCGATCGCCTCGGAGCGGAGGATCCTTGCGAACAGCCTACATGGTCGGACAGCAACATTAAGGTCTGGGCTATGCCCATCAGGTCTTCCCCCGTCCCGCACCTGCAAGCGACGTCGCAGGTTCGCTCAATGAGCCCTAGGAAGCGGAGCCTCGACGAGTTCGAAGAGAGCAACAATACGTCAGAGCCTATTGATGCGCGAACCCGGGACCAAGTCATTAGACAGTCTGTGATCACGGACATGTTCAACTCGAACTGGAGACTGGATGCTCTGCACGAGACCAAGTTGGCGGATGTGAAGATGCCGGCCGCGATGTTCGTTCGTAACCCCGTCACCAAAGACCTTGAGCAGTACAAGGGACCTGCCCCCGGAAGTAATGAGCCACTCCCTGATATCACGGTCCTCGTACGCCAACCGTGGCCCGGTGCAGCCGTTGAGAAGATCCCTCATACTTCCTGGTGTCAGGAGTCCGTTTCCTATATCATCCGGAACCACGATGTCCGGGGAAAGTTCGACCCAAAGAAGGCTCAGGAGCTGAATGTTCGCAAGGGACCAGACTATGCCAAGTTGACCAAGGGAGAGAGCGTGACGTCGCAAGATGGCAAGACCGTTACTCCTGACATGGTTTTGGGCCCATCCCGACTGGGTAAGGGATTGGCAATTATCGATTTGCCTACCCCAGCACACGTCGATGATCTGGTAAATCGGCCCGAGTGGAACTCCGCCGCCGTTACTACAGGCCTGCAGACCTTCCTGTGGATTTTGGGTCCTGGAGTGGGTGATCATCCACGGCTCCACGAGTTTGTTGCGAGATTTCCCGAGTGCGAGCATACCGTGTCCAGTTCGGACTATTGTCCCAACTACCTGTCTATGAAGAGCATCGCAACCTCAACCACACGGATGGGCTTGCTGAGGCCTGACAACTACCCGACCCTTGTTCATGACAATGTGTCCCTCCCGCAGCCCGGCACTAGAACTGCAGAGCCGGCCACAGAACTGAAAGCCGTTGCCCTGAAACCTGTGGCGCCCGGTGTCATCATTGACATGGAGCCCAAGTTTGCGCTCAATTTCTCTGAAGTGGAGCCGCCTTTCGAGCCCGCACAGGTGCAGCGCCAGATGCCTTGGGCCATCGAACAGCGCTTGAGCACCATCCGCAAGCGTGTCAAGAAGGAGGCCTTCACGAAAAAGCTTGAGAGCTTTCAAAAGGATCTCCCAGGAGCCAATGTAGAGATCATCACCCTGGGCACTGGATCCTCCGCTCCATCCAAGTACCGCAACGTCTCCGCTACTCTTCTCAACGTGCCTGGATACGGATACTACCTGCTGGACTGCGGTGAGAACACTCTTGGTCAGCTGAAGCGTGTCTTCGCACCTGAGAAGCTGCGTGAAGTCTTGCAGAATCTGCGGATGATCTGGATCAGTCACCTTCACGCGGACCACCATCTCGGCACCGCTTCTGTCATCAAAGCCTGGTTCCAGGAGAACTACCCCGACGGAATCCCGCAGACAGACGAGGTAGAGATGGACATGTCCAAGATCCTGCAGGAAAAGCGACTGTTCGTTGTCTCCGAACAGATGATGACAGGCTGGCTAGAGGAATACGCCGCTGTCGAGAACTACGGTTTCGGCAAGGTGATTCCCTTGAGCGCCTCCCCCTACCTCCACCAAGGCAACATCCGCACCCAATTCGTCTACCGTCACTGCCGCGCCGACGGCTCCTACCCCGGCCACCAACTCGAAGCCACCAGACCCTCGACCACCAGCCTCAGCTTCCACGACCAATCCTCCCCCCTTACTCCTCTCCTCCGCTCCGCCACCGGCCTCTCCGACCTCCTCACCACCCGCGTCTCCCACTGCCGCGGCGCCATGGCCGTATCCCTCGTCTTCCCCGACGGCTTCAAGATCTCCTTCTCCGGCGACTGCCGTCCCTCCGCCGGCTTCGCCACCATCGGCCGCAACTCCACCGTCCTAATCCACGAAGCCACTTTCCAAGACGACATGGCCGTATCCGCCATCGCCAAGAAACACTCCACCCTGTCCGAAGCCCTCGAAGTCGGCCGTCTCATGAACGCCCGCGCCATCCTGCTCACTCACTTCAGCCAACGCTACCAAAAGCTCGCCCGAGTCGAAGAAGCCCCTGCCTCCCGCACGGCCAACAACAAACCCGCCGTTGAACCCAGCAACCACGTCGGCCAAGTCGGCCTCGACGTCCCGGACGACGAGCCCCAACAAAACAACAACACCCGTAACCAAATGTTTGGCGACATCAAGGTCACCAGCCGTCCTAAGATCACCGTCCCGATCGTCGCGGCTTTCGATTACATGCGTATTCGCGTCCGCGATATGCCTATCGCTCAGGCGTATGCGCCTGCCGTCGAGAAGTTGTTTGATCTCCAGGAACGAGCGGGCGAGGAGAAGGCCGAGCAGAGGAAAGAGGCTGCTAAGCAGATTGCGCAGAATAGGCAGAAGGCGAAGAAGCAGAAGCAGGAGAAACATAAGCAGATTCCTGTTGCTGCTGAGGAGATGGAGGTTGAGAAGCCGGAGGGGGCAGATGTTAAGTCGAAGTCGATTTGGAGTGCGAGTGAGAGTGAAAGTGGGTGGAGCACGAGTGGAAGTGATAGTGAGGGGGAGCGCATTAAGAAGGAGCATTATGCTAGGAAGCGGAAGGGTAGTGCTGCTGCCGCTGCTGGTAAAGATGGGCAGTAGGAGTAACTAGAGTGTGAAAGATCCACATGGGATAAATACTATCATATTAGAGTATTTAACATTCGAACATATAATCATGATGTGTTATAATTCTTATTGGTGTTTGACTACGGTCAAGCATATTGGTTTTGAATAGATTACCACAGTTCAAGAAGCAAAGCAGCCCAATACTGCATATGTATTATGTCTTCCAAGAGACCATAGTAGTAAATATGTATATCTATTAGACCAGATGGACTAATCTCCCCATCTCAGAATGGTGGTCAAGAAGAGCAAAAGAAAGAAAAGAAAAGAACTAGATACAGAGTAAAGCAACCGCGCATACACACACGCAGATCAATCATCGTAGGCTCTAGAACCCAGCCACCGACTTCTCCGCATCGTTCTTCCCATACAACCCCTCACCGAGGTTCTGCAGGCACTCGGACCTCCAGTCCTTGGGTGTGAACTTGTCCACGATCTCCTTGAACGCTTCCAGCGTACAGAAGCTCTCGTCGCCGGGGAGATGGTTCTCGGCCTTAGCTGCGCAGCCGGGGATCCGGACAGGACGGTCGTTGTATCTGATGCGGACGTAGTGGGAGCGAAGGGATTCTTTAGATGATTCGGGGAGGGAGGACAGAGGGACACGGGCTGTTTCGGAGGGTTGAGGGGTCTTAGGCGTGCTGGAGGAGGAAGAGCCGGTCAGGAAGGAGAAGAGACCCTTCTTTTGGGTTGCGTCGCCAGCTGTGGATGCCGCGCGTGCTTGATCTTGTTCGGTTTTGGAGAAGAGCTCGATGGCTACGGAGGAGGTGAAGGGGGGCCATTTTCCGTCGAAGGCGCCCGTGCTGGTGAGGATAGCGGCGAGAGTGGTGTCGTGGCAGCCGCTCATGGCGAATTTGATGGCCTTGCCGTTGGTTGGGGAGGAGCCCGAGGCGGAGGACTCGCTGCGCCAGCCGCCGTCAACGGCGGTGCTGACCATGCGGTCGACGACGTCGCCGAGGAGAGCGCCAATGCCGAGTTTGCGGTATTCGTTGCTCTCGGTGTAGCCGGTGAACCACTCGTCGACGGAGATCTGGTCGATGTAGTCTCTGAGTTTGCGGTCGTAGAATTCGGAGGGGAGCTTGGTTGCGGGGCCGTGGGCATCGGTAGCGTTGATGGTGTCGTTGATTCCGCACAGTTGAGGGTGGCCGTCTACTGCGACTCGGGGGGAGCTTTCCGGCATCCACTTGGAGATGCGCTTGTTGATGTAATCCATTTCATCAGAGGTGTTCCCTGTAGGGGGTCTTGATTAGTCTTTGTTTCTATGCTTTGCGTCTGCTATTGCATGATGGGGGGCATTGGACTGGGGGATATGGGGGTAGAGGACGTACATTTGAGTGCTGCTTTGTTCGCAAAGAGCCTAGCAAGTTGCCTGAAACGGCGGCAGTTTCCTTCATTCGGGAAGAGGGTTTCCTCCGATACGGAGCGTGCAACGATCACCGGGGGTGGGAAGTCCTGAGTGCGGGCACTGGCGGGATACATGCCCCAAAAAGCTTGCTGGAGGGACTCGAGGGCACGGGGAATGGGAGTGGCACGAAGATACATATCCTCGGTGTCGGACTTTATCTTGGGCATGAAACCCAGCTGGTCGACATACAAGTGCCGCAGACGCTGGCCTAGGGCAAAGGTGGTCTCCCGTCCTTTGTCTGTCAGCTCACCGTGTTGGCTGGGGACTCAGTCAGCAGGACCTCCTGAATTATTGCTGAAGTCCAACTTGCCAGATGCCTTCTATATCACCAGTTGCTCCCACTGCAACCACAGATTGGTCTTTGTCGCCAAAAGCCTCCGTCTTCCTCCTCCATTCGAACCCGTTCCACGATGTGAGGTCTTTGTTGCTGGCGGCCATTTGAATCATCTGCCGCGCAACATTACAGTACGGCCAGTCTTTGCAGAAGTAAAGAAGTCAGTGGGGGGCCGGTCAAATGTATGCGTCAGGGTGGAAGGGCGAATTACATGGAGCGAGTCCTGCCTAAACAATATTAGCCCGGAGGAGATAAGCTGGGGGGAAGGGTTGGACCGCATACATTCTGGAAACGCGAAGAGACGGGCGTTCGTTCTCCTGAAAAGCAGATGTTAGATCAGAAATATTAAAGCAAGATTGTAATATATATATCCTCCTTACCATGACGGAGAAACTGAACCATGCATTAGCCAGCGTCCTGCATGGGCATTTGGGGGGGGGTTGATTTGCCGGCACTTACCACTTGCACCAATTGGAGTTTCAAGTCCCGAGGATAGAGCCGGTCCAGCTCCTCCTGGGAGTAAGGCTCACGGGGGACCAGAGTTGTCATTGGAAAGGCAGTCCGCAGTGAAGCACCTGGCAGGACTTGAGAGACGGCGTCAATGACAAGGTGGAAAAGGTAAAGAGCGAGCCTGGCAGACTAATAAATGAATGAAAGACAATGGGCGCAACGGCCGGACAGGCGGTGATGACGCCAGCAGGCGGTCTGGCCGAGGGGAGCCAATCAACAGGCGGCACTGAACCCCGAGGCCGTTTCGATGGTTTTTCGCGGGGATTTTCTCCATTCATTCCATTTACTGTGCCTGCTTTAATTTACTGTGTACGATCAGGGTCCTTTTGACTGTTCCACTAAACATTGAAGTCCTAACTGGCTACTATCTTCATATCTTGAGTACATCAAGGGTATTGTAGATACAATTGTCAACAAGTATGCCCAACCTTCTCAACGAAATTGAATACAGTCAGTCTACTACTCCGTAGTACTGTAATAATGTCGATCTCCAGAGGTGGTCTTCTCCATCACCCTCGTAATTTAGATAGGTGTGGTTGACAGGTTGTCATGCACGCCGACTGCATATATTCATCGCATTTAATTCCCGATCAAGTCTCCGTAACCATACACCTCTTGACCCTTCTTATGGGTCAAATAAATAATGGCCCTCTGTCAACGCCGCCATTGAATCCTATTGTCAAATTCGTGGTTGCCCTCAATATTGGCTGCCCGATATGCGCACCGCATTGTCATGGTATCAATCCAGTGCAAATTACCACATGTTGTAAAATTACCCTGTATTAGATCCCGACATGAAGCCATTTGCGTCGCTATCACAGCTGCAAACTTGACAGCTATCCATCTGGACTCTGTAGCATGAGATAGATAACTGCCCCCGTAGTTGGTTGGGGGAATGCGGAAAGGATCACGCACCAAAGGCGGAGAGCAGCATCTCTCCGTGCCAAGCCGCACCTCCCGCGCTTATCGCATTGGACGCACCGCATCTCTTTCACTGTCCTTCACTTCCATCCACTGTGATTGGCAATCCAGGAACGCACTGTCAGGCATTGAGACTTCTGCTGAGTATAAGCCACTCCCATTGCACCATCTGTATGTGTTCTTAGCATCACATCTCCTCCAAGTTCCTGTGCAAGCCCTCCAGTCCAGCCTGTTCTGCCCCGTGCCTACCCACCTATACATCCTCTTTTGTCTGATATTATTGTTATCGCGAGAGAGACGTATTGAGCCTCTCATCCCGTGACTCCCTTCCTCTTTCGCTTGAGTGATCATTTGCCAGCCATGCACTTCACACTCTGCTGAGCCTTCCTTATTCCCATCCGTTCCTGTGCAACAAGCCACCTTCCAGTCACTCTGCCCATATCCTGGTTGCTCCGTCGATTATCTTTCCAGGGTTCTGGTGCGGAGATTGCAAACACTGCGTTTCATACTTCACTGTCTCTCGTTTGGCTTCAATTTGCTTGAACTCAATCTGTTCAAACACGTCCCTCTCCTCATCTCATATCATCGTGTCGTGTGAGACATTGAACTTGTGGTAAGTCTCTGTCAAGTCACTTGGATGAAGTTGTTTTTTGCACTCGCTGAGCTGATTACTTAGGTGGAAAGCATCGTTTCTGAAATAGCACACGGATTGATCCGAGTCTGAAGCCATGGATGTAAGGATTCTTCCCAATGCCCCTCTCTCACTTATCTGCAGATGAGCCTGCACCGTCTGTCGAGCTGTGGGAATCAATGAGGTGTCTTTTTGAGTGTCGTGCTGGACTGTTTGGCCCAGATTGGCTCTGCTTTGAGTTGTTGCTGTTGCCTGCGTGTCAAATGTACTCTGTGTTGTGTGAGCTATCTGCAGATGCCCTTCAACGTTTGACCGGCTCAACCAGAAATGAGTTGTTTTCTGTGCTCGGATACACCCAGAGCAATCGATACTGTTTTGTACGAGTCTATGCACGTGTCAAACACGCCCGGCGAGTCCCAGGTGTTTTTTTCACGTTCTCATCACATTCGAGCTCGGGGCACGTGACCTGTATTCACGCTTTCACCTCATGTTGTTGGAGAAGACTAGATGGCTCATGGGCATTCTTTTCTCTGCTGTCTTTGTTGTCTTTGCTGAAAGCTTCTCACACGCTTGGTCATCATGGAGCTACCTCGTCGGATCGAACCTGGCTGGGGGAGCGCATCTAAACAGTCCCCAAGCGAGAATACTGCAGCCCCCAAGTCTGATGCACGGCTAATGCTGGAGAATATTCTACAGGGAACTACCCAATCTATGGAGCAGTCCGCTGAGTCGGCCAATCAACCCCAGGACGCTAAGCCTCGTCTGATGCTGATGGGCCTGCGTCGGTAAGCTGTCCCTACCGTAGCTGGTCCCGTACTGTATCCTAACATTACCTAGGAGCGGCAAGTCATCGATCGCTAGCGTGGTCTTCCACAAAATGCCACCCAACGAGACTCTTTTCCTGGAATCGACGACCCGGATCCAGAAGGATTCAATCCAGTGAGTACGCAGGTTCTCTACCATTCATACTGCACTGACACAAGCAAACAGCTCGTTCATGGACTTTCAGGTCTGGGATTTTCCTGGTCAGCTAGAGTACCTGGAGCCATCTTTCGATCTGGAAAGCATCTTCGGAAGTTTGGGTGCGCTGGTTTGGGTCATTGACGCTCAAGACGATTACATGGAATCGGTGGCGCGTCTCAATCGCACGATCTTGACCGTTCAGCAGTACTATCCGAACATCAACATCGAGGTCTTTATTCACAAGGTCGACGGTATCACCGATGAGTACCGCACCGACACTTTCCAGGATATTGTCCAACTCATTTCGGACGAGCTCAGTGATGCGGGCTACGAAAATGCTCCGGTTCATTACTACCTGACCTCCATCTACGACTACTCCGTCTTTGAGGCCTTCAGCAAGGTCATTCAGAAACTCATTCCCAACCTGTCTACGTTGGAGAATCTGATCAACACCTTGTCCAACAATTGCGGGTTTGAAAAGACCTATCTTTTCGACGTTCTCAGCAAGATCTACATTGCGTCCGACACCCGTCCGGTCGACATGTCCTGCTACGAGATGTGTTCCGACTATATTGACGTTATTGTGGACATTTCGGAGCTGTACTCCTGGGATCACCCCGACCGCAAGGCCAAGGGCGAGCAGAATCAGGAGGCAGAAAGCCACGCTGTTTTGCACGACGATACGATGATCCACCTCATGGAGATGAACAAGTATGTGACCGAGAAGTGACCGAGAAGTGACCGAGCTGCCCATTCTTTGATGATACTAACAGATAGCAGGTATCTTTGTCTTGTTTCCGTTATCCGAAACCCTGAGTCGAAGGATAAAAAGGGCCTTATTGATATGAATTGTCGTACCTTCCAGGAAGCTCTCAATGATGTCTTCTCCCGCAGCTGGGAGCAGGATCAGGAAGAGCCCGGAGTGGTGACCGAGGAGTAAAATACCGAATCCATCTGCATTGGCGAGGTTGTCTTGTTTTTGTTCTGTTTCGTCGTCCCTCTTTTGGGGCTTAGCAGGGAGTATTGAGGCACGGTTCCGGCATGGCATGACACCTCGGATGAGCCCTCTATCTTGCGACGTCGAGAATATGTGAAGCTCTGGCAGTTTTAACGCTTTTTTGATGGGATCAAGACTGAGGCTGGTACTTTGATAGTATTATTTCCGAGTTAGTAGTCAATACCATAATGTGAATTTCTACCAAGGAAACATTCGACCCGCAGTAGCCCTTGTAGTAAGGCACCAAGGCACAGAGCGGAACAGGACCCCCGCCCGGCGGAACTTTCTTCCTGCGCAACATAAATTCATCTGGAAATTCTTTTCTTCGCTTGTTTTCTGTCATCACCAGCTGTGGTTCCGCCTTTTGCGACTTCAAAAATGGATTGAAACCTTTTGCGATTGGCTATGCCAGTACTAAATTCGAAGCATCAATACTACAGGTATATTTGCATCACCATCTTCTATGGTAAGTTCGACAGAACAATTTATTGCACATGCTTCAATCAAGCTTCCCTCCCCAATCTCGATGATGAAAACTTTTCCTACATTCGCAGTTTCCACGCTAGCCGTCGCGAGAACCCATTCTAGACGTGCTCTGTGCGCAATACTTCCTTGGATGTCTGACGAGATTGAATGCCTTTGCCTTTGCTTCTGCAGTTTTCATGTAGTTGAACTTGGCTAACTGGATTAAAGTTATAGGTTCACTTTAGATGCACATCTGCTTCGATATAGATATCAGGAGGAAGGATACTAGACCAAGACATACTCGTCAGTGTGCAGGATAATGGACATGGCGCAGAAGCAGCTAGCTACTGATCACCCAGTAGCTTTATGCTTTTCCCAGGATATCTATCTAGATAATGCAAGAATTATGATCTGTACAAATACCTCTCCAAGTAAACCAAGACCGTAGCTGTACCTCTGGCCCTTAAATTTCAATAAAAGCACTATACCTGTCACACCATGCGACTCCCGAAACAAGCCAACGGAGAGCGCGGAAATACTAAGGGTACTTAAGCCAAGCAGCAGCTAACTACTACTTACCTTTTACCTAACCATCCATCCATTCCACCTATCCCTCTTCTCCCATTACTATACCTATCTCTACTTGTCTCCCAATTCAATGGCATACAAGTAATTTACAATCCAACCACCTTACCACCATCAAATACAACATACAGCAACAACCATGTCCTCCGAACTCCGCCAACGTCAAAAACCAACCCCATCGAAACCCTCCAAAACCACTACCAAATCATCCTCCTCCTCATCACCCAAAAATGGCATCTCCATCCTAGACATCATCCGTGTGCTGGCCACACTCCTAATCGCCTCGTGCGGTCTTTCCTACTACATGACCTCATCCGAATCTATCCTCTGGAACTACCGACCCTGGTTCACCCGCTGGCCAGTCCTAGTCCGCTACATCGTATGCCCTCATCCCCTCATCCCCTCTTATCCCCTTCCATAAATCCACCATACTAACAATCCCCCGCGCTCAACAGCAAGGCCCCCTCCTCCTAACCCCCACCGAACTCTCCCTCTACAACGGCACGGACCCCACCCTGCCCATCTATCTCTCCATCAACGGCACCATCTACGACGTATCCGCGAACCCGCTCGTCTACGGCGCCGGCGGCCACTACAACTTCTTCACGGGGCGGGATGCGACGCGCGCCTTCGTGACGGGATGCTTCAAGGAAGATCTCACGCCGGATATGCGTGGCGTCGAGGAGATGTTCATCCCGATCGATGATCCCGAGGAGGAGAAGCGGTTGAGTAATGGGCAGAGGAAGGTGCGGAGGGAGCAGGATTTGAGGATCGCTAAGCAGAGGATTCATAAGGCCGTGGCGCATTGGATGGGTTTCTTTGCGAATCATAAGAAGTATTATGAGGTTGGGAAGGTTGTGGGACTCGACGAGGTTGTGAAGAGGGAGGAGGAGGAGGGCGTTAAGAGGGAGCTTTGTACGGCTGCGAGGCAGCAGAGGATGACCAGGGAGCAGGTTGAGAAGGCGAAGGGGGGGAAATAAGTAGGTCGAATTATTTATATAGTAGTATGTATGTATGGTGTATGATAGTGGTTTTGGTGGGGGAGAAGAGGGGGGGTATTATCTTGTCTTGGGAATTTGCTATGGAATTTGCTATCTAGATGATAAATATCATGTGAAGATATCTATCTGGGCATTTGGTATGGTATCGCTACGATTGCACTGCACGTATTTATAGTCTTCGACTGCCCCGCTACGCAGTCCTCCCAGCCACAGCAATAGTCATCTACAAGGAATGATTGGAACAGATTTTGGTTGAATTTCAGCCAGTCATATTCTAACTTGACATGTCCATCAAATCGCCCAGCCCGACTTTCCGAATTTTCATTCGAGTGATATCATATCGTTGCACAAAGAAAAATGCGACGCGCGAGGAAAGATATTCATAGCGTCATACGTTTACTCGGCGGTGACGGCGCGGGCTATTATCGATGTCAGTATTCCATATCACACACACACATATATATACTGTAGGATTCCGTGAGGGGGTGCGTACTGTAGATGTTCATCTTGGAGTGACCAACAACCTTCTTGATCTGTCCCTTCTCCTCAAGGTCAGCAAGGGCCTGGCGGGCCAAGCTGCCGTTGATCTTGAGACGGTCGACCAGAGTGGCGACAGTGATCAGACGGTAGGACTGGACATCCTTGTTGAGACGCTCAGCGGTCTGCTTCTCGAGGACGACGGCGTGCTGGGCCTTGTCCTTGACTATATTCGGAGAAAAATCGATGTCAGTAAAGTGTTTCCTATTCATTCATCTCGGTTTTGTGTATCGGTTCGCGATCGATCGCATTTCATTCATCATGTGCGTTGTGTGCGTAATATCCATCCATCCATCGCTATCGGGTAACATGTATATGTATGCTTCTTCTTCTTCTTTCTCTTCGTTCGATACAATCACAGGCGATCTTCGACTCTTGAACTCGATAGGGGGGAATGATAATGATGGTGATGGTGATGATGATGGAAAACGGGGAATTATAGCGTACCCTTGCCCTTGGACCACTTCTTTCTGGTAGGAGCCTGCGAAATAATATTAGTATTGATACATTTCCCCCTTTCTGCACTGCGAGTGCTACTCGGCGATGGTACTCACCATTTTGACTGTCTGATGTAGCTGTTCGACGGAGGAGAGCTGCACAACAGATCGAACGGTCTGAAGTTTGAGTGCCCAAGTGCGAAATTCGAGTGGGGGATGACTCAGCGTCACGTGCGGATGAACCCTAAGCCCTGGCTGTCGGTGCCGCTCGGTTAGCATTGGCTGCTGCAATGCCGGATGTGATTGGTCGGTCGGGGTACACCTGTTTGTACAGAGTATGCTTGATGGTATAGTACTGAGTACTAAGTATAAGGGTCTGTGAAACATTGGTAGGACCCAAAGGCTGATTAAGATTAAGTATAGTTTCCGCTATGTACATAGGTATTGTATCAGTTCGTTATAGGGCTTCCCTCATGAATATCTCCCTCGTAAAAGCATACCCGGCTTTGAAGCCGTTAGGTGTAAGGTAGTATAGAGGACCAGCTGGCAATATGATCATTTAGCCGGATGACTGCGCTTTGTAGCACTCCTCGACGGCAAACTCATCTGCTCGTACCAGGTCCGTAGCTACTTCCCTTGACTTTACCATTGATGGTTGTGGTAACCTTGAACTGTGGCGAATCTTCGACACTCTCAAGGTGACCAAGTACAAAGTCGTCCGGGGTGCCAAACCAGAACTTGGAATCCTCGTCCTCATCGAAAGACAACCATCGCACCTCGTATCGTCCGCTCTCGCTTCGCGGAACGGGGATGCGCGTGACTAACGGCTGGCTATACGGCGACCAGTACCGAACAGCAGCGTAGGCGGTGTTCGCTGTGGTTATAAGTAATTGCGTCTTGGAATGGTGCCACACGACCTGTCTAACAGTATGTTCGTGGACTAGTGCCGACAACAGGACTGGTGTGCTCTCCAAATCCCATATCCAGACAATGTTCGGTCGCGTCGGATCGACGGTGCCCAGAAGAGTCCCGCTGGCGCTAAAGGCCATGATCGACACTCCCCGGGGCGCCCCGGATGGTTCGACTGGCATACCAAACGCAGAGGAGCTTGATGCTTCGGCATATTCAAGGTCTCCGTCAGCTGCATAGCGTTCCCGCCAGACACTGGGGGAATTCTGCTCTATCTGAAAGACATGGGACAGTGTGATCGAACAGGAAAACTAAATTCATTAGCTTTGTCATACATAGAGCAGCCATCCGAAGTAATCTTACTGTTCGGGTCTTGAGAATGTCGACAGTCCCATCGACCTTACCAACGACCAGAAGCTCTGACACACCGCGTTGCTCGGTAACAGGGCTCCACTCTATCCCTCTAACGCCGAGGTCGAGCGAACTATCGATGCCTGAAGGGCCACTATACGTTCTGAAGAGCTGCCCATCAGCCGTGAAAATGAGGACTCTGGTGCCCGCACTCGCAGCATCCCACACGGCTATCCATCTCCCGTCCGGACTCCATTTGAGGCCCTGAGCGTCTATTGTAGGCAAGACTGCTCGTCCTATGAGCTCGTAAGATCGAAATCCGTGAATTGTCAATAGATCAACTGCATCCGGCTTCAGAAGAACAGCAAATTGCCTTGTTTTGGGCCGGTAACCAAAGCCATTGCTGTTCGAAAACTTGGGACTTTTGATGATTTGGCTTCGACCAGAGTCCAATCCGAAGACTGTGATTTTCGTGTTCCAGGCATGAAAGAACACGACCTCGTTCTCATCGCCTCCGAAGTCGACGTATGTAGCGCCAGGCTCAATGCTTTCGATTTCTGCGAGCAATTGCAACGGGTCCAATTGCCAGACCAGGATCCGTGAATCACTAGAACAAAGCACGCGTCTTCCTGGGGAACTCACTCCTGCGTAGGAGTGCGTGCTTGAAGGTAACACAGGCTTGCATCTGGAGAACTTCAAGAACTTTGAAGCAATCTCCTTAAGCTTAACGATCTGTACCTCTTTGAAATCAGGCGATGCCGGGTCCAGATGGATGACAAGATCTTTGCCATTCAACTGCGCGGCATAGTCGCCATCCTCAGATAGAGAGATTGTGTTTGAGACTGAAATCATCATCAGTGATACAATTTGCTACCAAAACGGCTATAAACGCACCCCCTGCTCCGGTGGAGTCCATTGTTGATTTCAGCTGCAGCTAGGTTCAGTAACTGCCGTCGAGATGCAGTACAGGAAATTATGGCGCGTGCATGTACTCCTGGTATCATGCGCATCCTAGACACTGTTTCTCATCACGAGCTTCCAGGGATCGAAATCTTGGGACTGTTTTGAAGGTTTCATTATTTATCTGAACCCACTTTATTGGAAGGCGCCAAGGCTTCACATAGATTAGGTAAGCAGTACTATGAAAACACAAATTTGACAGCTGCTAATGATAGCCACGCGCATCAACAAAGTCTGCAAAGATTGAAAGAGAGAAGATTTCCATTCTTAGTCTTAGCTCATGCAATATATAAGCATCGACCTCTTGTACGACGAGAAACAGGCATATTGAAAAGACAGCTGAGTAGCGTGTGCATGTTCTTTCCCCGGATAAGATAAGAGGATCAACATTGATCCCCTCCGAAATAAATTAATTGTCGGCAAAAAAGCGCCCGCCATCCGCATCATTTGCGACTTCCAGACTCCAGATACCCTCCTCCGCAAACCGCTACCTCGATCGCTCCTTTTGGGGACAAAAATCTCTTATTTCGTAAAGATTCGTCTCCCTCGGTTCTCACCCCCCTGGCTGGGGCACTTCATCCCCAAGTTTCTACGCCCAAACGTGAAAATGGCGGTCCCGGAGACACAGCCCGCTCCGCAAGGAAGCGTCGCAGACCAGAATGCGCCTGTAGCTGCGGCTGCTGAACCGAGAAAGAAGCTCCTTGGAAGACAGTTCTACGAGAGTATTGGAAGCCCGAAGTACATCATTGCACCTATGGTGGACCGGTCTGAGTTTGTAGGTTTCTCTTTGATCGTACTCTTCGATCACAACTAATCGTCCCGGAGGCGTGGCGCATGCTCACTAGGTCGTTCATGACACCGGAAGACCAGAAGAAGGTTCTTGCATACTCCCCCATGTACCATGCGCGCTTGTTCCGTGAGCAAGCGAATGTCCGCGTACAGCACTTCCACCCTACTCGCGCTGCAGCCGGCAAAGGCGAGGATGAGTCGCCATATCTCGACGGAAACCCTTCGTTCGATCGGCCTCTGTTTGTACAATTCTGCGCCAATGATCCTGATGATTTCTTGGAAGCCGCGCGCCATGTGGCACCATACTGCGATGCGGTGGATCTCAATCTGGGATGTCCCCAAGGCATTGCGAAGAGGGGTCACTATGGTGCTTTTCTCCAGGAAGACTGGGATCTGATTTACAAGCTGATCAACCGACTTCACAACGAACTCTCGATCCCAGTCACTGCCAAATTCCGTATCCAGGAAACGAAAGAAAAGACGCTCGAATATGCGAAGATGATCTTGTCCGCTGGTGCGAACATAATCACGGTGCACGGACGGAGAAGAGAACAGAAAGGCCACAACACCGGACTGGCTGATTGGAGCTACATTCGCTATCTCCGCGATAACCTTCCCCCAGAGACGGTCATCTTCGCGAATGGCAACAACTTGAACTATGAGGATCTGGACCGTTGTCTGGAAGAGACAGGTGCTGATGGTGTGATGAGTGCGGAAGGCAACTTGTCTGATCCGTCGATCTTCAGCAAGCCCCCTCCGGTTGGCAGTGAAGGAAGAGAATACTGGCGAGGCAGGGATGGAAAGGGTGGGTATCGTATCGACGCCATGCTACGGCGGTACTTGGACATCATTTACAAGTACGTGCTTGAACAACCTGTTCCGGACAGGAAGCCGCTCTATCTTCCATCGAACGCAGTGGAAGAGGAATTTGAACAGACAACCGAAACACCCGAAGAAACCGAAGACGGCCCGCCCAAGAAGAAGCAAAAGCGCGAGAAGTCAAAGAGAGCGGCCTCTCCCAGTCTCGGTGTCATGCAGGGCCATCTCTTCCAGCTTCTCCGCCCTATGGTCTCTGTGCATACCAATGTCCGTGATGCGTTGGCAAGATCGAGACCTGGCGATATGCCAGCGTTTGAGAA